GACGGAAAGAGGGCGGGAGCGTGAGGCTTGGTGGGTATCTGGCAGTGAGCCAAGGTCAACCATCGTGGTCAGTGACTTGTACTGCTGATCAGACTGACTGGGAATTCTGGTTTAGACTAGGAACACACCTAAAAACGTTGTGGTTCTTGGTGGTGTTTAAGTTGGATTAAGGAAGAATTTGGTGTCAAATTGTCATTTTATTTGGTGCAAATAAAACAGAGCATCTGCAAAGTAGGATCTATGGTGTTTCTTCTCCCCTCTTCACCCCCAAGTTTTAGGGATGTGGTTTCTTTATATTCAATTTTATTTCTATGTAATATGTGAAACAATACATATTAAAGTTTAGGATGTATCTCATAATGAAACAAAACTTGTGTGACCATAGGAACAGAGTAGGAGGGGACACGACTGTTCTTTTACCACTGTTGCTTAGCTTTAAAAATCTGTTGAAATTAGATTAAGGGTAAGTGGCTAGATGAGTAGGAACTTTTTCTTTTGTTTTAGTGAAGATTACTATAAACTGAGCCTTACCTCTCAGACCCTTTATAGCAAGGAGAACAGGCATTAATAGTCTGCCTGTCAATGTCCCTGACCCTTCTGAGTTTGTGCCTTTGACACTCCTTCCTCAGTGTTTGTATGTGGAGAATATATTTTGCTGAGTTGAAATTATAACTCCATTCTGTTAATCAGCTCTAAGACATTAATCAGGAGGAAGGAGGAGCTTGGTTACTTGTTCTTAGGTTGGAAATTCTAGTGTCAGGTCCAGCAACCTTCTGGTTGACTTCACTTTCTCTGCTGCCTTCTCCCCTACCCCAGGTGTTGCTAAAAGCTGTTTTGGCAGAATGTTACAAAGGTGCATGCCTGTCTTAAACCCTATGCATAACTCCTCTAAGGTGGAAAAGACCTGTCTCTAGTGTAGTTTATTCTTTAGTGTTGCCCACATCCAGTTGTACAAACTGAGTAAGTGGTGGTGTGGACTGCAATGTACAAGAGCTTGGTTTAGCTTGTCAACTTAATGTTCAGTTTTCTTTGAATAATAGATGAACCGTGGTGTCCATGGCTGGAATAAAGAGAAACTAATATGACTTTTCTTTCTTTCCCCCTTCCTCGTTTAGAGCCCAAGTTTGAGGAGACTCCAAAGTGATGGCTGCAGGTTGTACTCCAAACAGCAGTGTACATCAGTGGAGTTGCTGAACATGGCACCAGTTGTAACTTAATAAATGCGTTGTTGCAGTTTGAGTTCAGAAGCGTGCTGAAGTTCTTAACTCTGTGGTGAGCATGGCTAGCTAAGTGACTGAGGCATCTGAGTAGTGTTTCTCAGTGTTAACTGCAAAACTCCTTTGCCAAGATATGTTTTAGTGATGAGAGATTATAACACCAATAATGATTCCCCAGGAAGTACTTAATAGAAAAGCTACTGGTTTTCTGAGTTTACCACATCCCAAAAGCTTCTGCAGGAAAAAAAACCAAACCGCACAACCTTAAATCTGTAGCAAAGCCTGTGGTAGCAATGGACCTGCACAACCAAAAGCTCAAATACACTAATTTTTACACTGCATCAACAAACACACAAGTGATGCAGTGTTACTCGTACTGAAGCAACTGAAACCTGTTAATGAGGTGGTGAGACATAAAATTCAGTAACTGAAATACTGACACAAACACTTCAGGTTCTGAGGAACTATTTATTTGTGACACTTGGACATTTAAGGTTGAGATACTACAACTTGATGTACTGGCATAACCTTTCTTCAGAACAAAATTACACGTGCAGTCTGCAGAGAGAGATACCTCCGTGTGGAAGAGAAGCCCTTGGCATTTTATATTATTAGACAATAACGCACTGCTTGAGCCTCAATTACAGGAAGCTTTATGCTGTCAGAATAATGAGTTTAAGTGTGGATAACTACTGATGGACCTACAGATGGCTCTGGCAAATCTGATACAGTGTCCAAGTACCACTAAGGCAGAATTGCAGGAGTGTTTGGACCCTTGACAATGGTGGAAGGATAAGTAGTACAAGTAGTTGGTAGCAAGGTCATCGGACAGTTATTTGAACAGATTGTTCAAGCTGCAAGAGTGAATCCTGTATTGCTGCATGTATGCATGAACAAAATAAGAAGTTTTCACAAAAATTGACCTGTATAGTCAATTTAGTTCTAGCTTAAAAAAAAAACCAACAAACCCAACAACAAAAAAACCCCAAAAAATCTTAACTTAAAAAGCAGTCATAGACAGTGAGGTTGACTAGATCTAAACATTGGCAGTTTCTGTTTTCAGGGAGTAGTATGTTGGAAACAATATTTACAGAGTAGAGGTCAAAAGATCCCTTTGATACTTTTGTATAACAAGTAGTCATTTGATGTCCCTCACAGAGGCTGAAATCTTCTAAATAACAAAGGACTTGGTATGCTTGAAATCCTAAATGAAGCAAACAAGGTTATATAAGTAATAGCTCAAAGTTTTTAACCAGATTAACATTTCATGTACAATTTCAAGAAATTAAGGCATCGGGGTTGGAAAGAAGCATGCCTGAAGCACCGTTAAAGTTTACTCTTTTCTGAAAAAGGCAGCTTACAGAATGCATTGCTGTACAGAACACAGGTAATAACCTATTAAAAAACAGAAGTATCAAACAGCTCTGTTGAGCATCTGATTCGTAAGTGCATTAATACTGATAAAGGGACACCACAGCTCTTCAAGGTTTACTCCTTCCTACGTAAACAACCGGGTAGCTGGCCTTGGTAAATTTCTTGCATAGATACTGGTTGAAGGAATCAGCTTATGCTGCTTATCACACTCTGTTTTGATTAAAGAAATGAGTGGCATTGAGACAGCTTAAAGGCTACTAATGTAGCCATAAACTATCAATAGTGAAAGTAAGTTGCTCCTAATTGAAGCTTTAGTTGGAGCTTGATTCTTTTTGCACCAGTCTGAAGAGCCGGAGCAATGTACATGCACTTAAAGCACTTGAGCCCTCTCAGTGAGGAAGGGAGAAAAAAGTGGTATGTTTAGCTTCCATATTTTTTTCAAGCCTTTTAACCCATGTTAATTGCAGAGGAATTAAGGCCCAGACTTTGTCTGGCTGCTGCCTTGGACTATGTCCAAGTTAGTTTCCTTGGTTAACCAGTATGCACAAGCAAGACAGAGTGGGAGACTTCACAAACAAGAAATGGCATCACTAAGTGGACAGTACAGAGATGAGAGTAACACCCATAGTGTAAGGGTGTTACCTTCTTAGTTTA